TCTAGAATTTCCTGTAGCTATCTATGATTGAAACATCATCCTCACCCAAAGAAAACTCATCTTGCACTTCCCCCTACACGGGGTGGTACAATTGGAACCCGGAGCCACACCCTCGCCAATCTTGACAGCAGCGAGACAATATCGGTTCAATAGAAAGTTGGACAACAAGCGGGAGCTGTCCCGGCAACCAGGTTGTCAGTGGATCAGCATGAATGTCCGGCCTTGCGCTTCAGCAGATCCATTCCCAGCTCTCCAACAAACCTCACCTTGGTTTTTGAGTAGAGAGGTTAGAATAATTAAGGGTATCCTTTTTGTATGCAGTCTATTTTAGGGGGGGGAACCCTCCCCCAATCAAGGGGTGAGAAAGGGCACTACTGGGGGACCTAGTCACACTTGCTAGACGTTCAGGAGGAAAGAACATGGCGTTCCACCTGGAGGCAAGGATCTTGCGATCTATGCTGGATGCACGCTGATTCGAGATGCATTGTTTCTTGTGGAACCTTAATGCCCCTGCAGGATCATGATCCTTTTCAAAGAACTGCGGGTGACATCAAACCCCGGCGAGACCCGTTTGAAGTTTGGACACTGGTTGAAACCAGCACGAGTTCCGGGCCGGTTGCTGCATTCTGGAACCCGGAGTATCTATGGGAACGAGGACGGCCAAAAAACCTCCGCCTTAAGCAAGCGATCAGGCTGAAGCCTAACTCAAAGTCTAACTCGTCTCGGCTTAGACCCGATTCCCCAGGGCATGGCCCTCAGTTTGCGGTTTCCAAACTTCGAGCCGAGCTGATCCCCTATGCGGCAAAAAAGGGGTGGGCCACGTTTTGGCTTGACAACACCAAACCGCATAAACTCTTTTTCGTCGTTTCTTCTGAAAAAAATGCACGTCGGGCACACCACGTCGGGTGAAGTAAAGAAACGTCAGTCGGCCCAAGCGGCTTTTCAACTGCAGTTCTGCAAGCCTCAAATTCGCCGTGCGTGTGATTGTGACCTTGGACTCGATTCGCATGCAGTCTGTACATATAGCTTGCAACCGCCGAATTCACATACGCGGCTTCGCCACTCGCATGTCTAGCTGGATCCTGCTTCTGACTTCTGCGCGGAGCTTGTCTTTGTGTGCTTCTTGTATTCTTGGTGTTTTAAGGGGCTCCAACAACTTGTGTTTTTGTGTGTGTTTCTTGTATTCTTAGATTTGCAGTTGACTCCACAAAACTTTTGTTTTTGATTAGTTTCTCTGGGATTTCCATCCCCTCAAAACTCGATCCTCTCGCTGCGCTACCTTGGCGATCAATTCTGGATCAGTCCTAACCCACATATAAACCCTTGGTGCTAATGATAATATGGGTATGGGTCAAAATTAATCCACCAGGACTGCAGGTTTTAGTCCATGTTTCCATTTACCAGGGTTCCATTTTGGGTAACTATTTTTGACCCACGGCCATATATCATACACTCGAGGAAGCTAGCCTGATGCTGGGCAATCCAGCATTTCTACTCTCCATGTAGCTATGATATATGATTGTATTTAGACTTCTTTAGATAGGGGATACCTCGCTACAAATCGTTTCTGAGCCCTCAGACAGAGCTAATGTGTTTTGGCATTGTGCCTTGGAATAAAAATAGCGGCGGTGCTATTTGCAGGTAGGTTCTGGTCATGAGCCGCAAGGCCCCAGTTCTCAGCCTGGCACTTCGCTCTGCCAGATGCACACGGTTGACATACCGGGGAAACTGCGGGAAAAAACAAAAAAAACAGCACCCTGCCCCCCCCCCCCCTTTTCCACAGTTCTGCTTTTCAAGCCATATCCAAAATTCTGTTGGTGTCCTAAACGCAGTGGTTTTGGGGTGGTTTTGGGGTGCTGGAGGGCACGACCGGAGGTCTGGGACCCGTTCCCGCTGCACTCTTTAAATGGCGGTCAAAATCGGGTAACCCCAAAATGGGTTGCAAGCCCTGGTACATGAAAACATGGCAACTAAAACCTGCGTTCCAATTCCTGAAGAAAAACGACACTAATACCCAAATGTGTGCAACTGGGATTCTCAGGATGAAGTCGAACGCAATTCGCGGAGGCTTGCAATGCATGCTGGCAACTGCTGGGTGTTGCACCAGTTTGTGGTCGGTCATTGACTCCGTCAGGGCTCATGTTCAGAGCACATGGATTTGTTTCGAATTTCATTCATTGGGGCCGGTCAGGACTCTTGTCAGTTCTTCTGTTGGTTCCGTTTCCCTGAAGCGAACCCCACTTTACCACCCAGTCAGGCTCTTTTCATTAGACAATCATACACCGGCTAACAACATATCATGTGAGAGCCTGGACACTGGTTGTAATCGGCGAGGCCGGGCTCAAACGACACGGACAACCTGAAACCCGCTCATTCCCTTTTTGCTTGGACGCCCTATTGTCACGGAAAAGACCAACTTGACCTTGCGACGGTTGGCACAAGGTAAACTGGATGACATGTTTGACTTCCCGGGGATGTTCCCACAAAACGACTGACATGCTTTTCTTCTGAACAGTAGCACCCACCAAAAGGACACTCCCCCCCAAACTTGCCTCAGCCTTGCCCCTAAAATATCAAGTTTGATTCTGGCGTGACGGTGTCAGCTTTAGTGACCCATGAGATCCCAGCCATGTTTAAACACCACCTGGGCATAGGCTGCCGTGCGGGAATTTGGGAAGCGCGCGAAGCGGCCGCAAACCGCGCCTACCACGAAGCGCATGAAGTCTGTGGCGTTCCGTTCGTGCTCCCGAACATGGCGCTCCTGCGAACCGACCGAATGAGTCACTAGTCATAACACCCAAACGGCGCACAGTTGCCCCGGGCCCCAGCTTGTGGGACCTTGACGAAAGATGGAGGTCAACAGGTCGACTTTGGGCAACTGAGAAATGAATATTGGCTAGGGTCTCTTTCGATTTGAATTCAGTGGGGATTCATGTCCACCAACCATTTTCCAGCAATTTCCCCCTATCAAATCTCACGTCCAGTGAGGTCCCCTCCCGGAGTTGATTCGGCCAGGCAAACCCCTCGGGGCCCGAGATGCATCTGGAAGGTTACATGTCCTTGCAGATCCTTTCCCAAGACCAACAGGGCCTTTCCCAAGACCAAAGTTGACGACATTCCAACAAGACGACTCATAAAACTACCCCAAACCCTCTTCACAGCATCTCCCCAAGCCCCAAACCCTCCAGTGGTTATATCTGTTTTGGTCTTCCGGTCCCGGTGTGAATGCCTTGGACGGTAAGGAGCCAGCTCGCACAAAAGGCCACGAGCTCCTGCATGTCCTTCTCCAGCTTGGGAAGCGACCTGCCCACGTCTCACAGAGCAACTCTTAGTCTGAGGTTTGTAATAAATGGCTGTGGGTCAAAACCAATGGTACCATTTTGGGGTAGGTGCACCACCCATTTTAGAACCTATTTTAGTGGGGATTGGGATGTTCACTGGGGGCTAACCGGGATTTTGACCCATGGCCAAATGGCTTTGGCTCAAAGGGGAAGCCCCAAAAAAGGGCGTGCCGTGTTCCTTTTGGTTTCCCCTCACCATCCAAAAGTCCGGGAAGCCCCCCTCCCCCCCAAAAAAAAGAAGACAAATGGCCAACAAAACTCCGTGCGACAAATATGTTTTTTCTCCTGCCGAACCGGGAACCATGTGGGCGAAAGACAAGCGTGGTTTATGGCGACATGGCGACAAGGCCCCTGGAGGGCTAGTTTTGACTCAGAGCGGTTCATGGAAGACTCTGGTGTAAAAAGCGGTCCTACAAGCTTTGCTGTTGCGTACACCTCCTGTTCTACTTTTGATTACCAGGCTGTACGGCGCTCATGTGGATTCTGCGAATTGGACGGCTCGAGCGCATTTGCTTTGTTGCCAAACCTGGAGCTGATCAATGCGCAGCTCTGGCGATTGCGAATTCTTTCCGGCTGCAATGAGCTTTCTCAAAGCCTTTGTCCAAAAGACCTTGCCGTTGAGAATCGGCTTCCCGGCTGGATGTGTCTTATACTTCAAGCCCTGTGAAGGTCTCGCACCGGCACCACGCAGGTCCACTCCTTCAAACACCAACTTCCACTTCCATGGCTTTTGGACAGGGCAAACGGAATGCCGAATTCTGGTGCCACCTGTTCAGGGGCTTCAAGAGAGGTAGGCTTGGAAAAACAAGTTGCCACTTGCCCAGCACCCGTGGAATCCTTGAACCTTCGCTATCACCAGAGTAACTCTGAGACTTCACTGTGGTTCAGCACAGAGTCGGCGTGTGACAATACCCATTGCGTGAGCGGAGTCTCTCTGACGAGGTTCTGGGCAAAGCGACTTGTGGCTTTCTGGCGAAGGCTCGCACTTTGTGCAACCTTCGCCTCAACGGCAGAGTTTGCAGGCATGAATCACTTGTGGGAGAACAGGGAGCCCAAAATGGCTTTGCTTCCCTTTGGTTTCCCTTTGGCTTCCCTTTAAACCAACCTAAAACGGGGTCCCACAGAAACCCACCCTGACTCCACGCAAGCCACGCAACGACATTTCAGCATCAAACTTGCAGAGAGTACAACTTCCACACCAAAACACCGGCCAAAACTCCACCAGCACCCTGGTCCCAAACGTTCTGTTGCTTTTTGGCCATGTCCTTAAAATCCCCTTGGTACTGCCTTTTTGTTGTTTTCCCACAGTGGTTGGAGGGGTGCACGCGGCAGGGGACATTTCAACAACTCTATGGCAATTGCCCTATGGGAGCTACATAATCAGCAGTGTTTTTTTTCCCAGAAACCCACTACCCCATTCTAGTCATCTACTCATTTGCGGATTAAATCGGCCAAACCAGTCTAATTTGCTTGTTTGCCACTTGAATGGTCTTCGAACAAACTAGACAGTCCAGGAAATCAGGGAGTGACCCGCTTCTAATTCTTGCTTGCAAAGGGACCTGGAAATAAAAGGCTAAAGTTTTGGGACATTTATTAAAACTGCACCAAAAGGGAAAACCAAAATTCAGAAGGCGAGAATAATCTATGCCCTTAAAGTAACTGTTTTTGTCTTTCGAACTCTGCACTGGCGGCTCACTTCGGCTTGTTCTCCTGCGCGAAACGGTGGCTCGCTCTACCGCGAGGTTTTTCCAACTTCTGGGCTGAACACCTTGACGTGCAGAACCTCACATGTGACTGAAGTAAATCTCCTCCAAATGACTGCCATTTTGGCTCAAGGCTTTCGCCAAACTAGCAGACTCTTGTTTTTTGCTTTTCCACATATCATCAAATCCCAAGACCTGGCAAGGATCCTCAAGAAAAGGACCTTCATGGTGAGCTTGCTTTACCTGGTGACCTCGCCACAACATTGGCGACTAGGTCCTCCAGTAGAGAGGTTAGAATAAGGGTACCCTTTCTTCTGTAGTCTATTTTAGTAGGGGAACCCTCCCCCAAAAAAGGGTTTATGGGCACTACTGGGGGACCTAGGCAAACAAATATCATAGGCAGAGATATGGGCAGCCTTCCAGCACTCCCGGACGGCATCCCTGCAACTTCCAGCAACACTCGCAGCAGCACCCTGCCGAACATATGCCCTCACACCCCGCCCTCTCTGGAAGCTAAAAAGCTAGCTTTCACTCGTGGCCGTTAAAACAAACCAACCCACAGATCTCCTTGATTTTTCGTTTAAGGGGGAGAAAAAAGAAAGCCAGCCCCCGACTCCCTGGGATGTGAAAAAACGCGCCTGCGGTCATCGGTCATTTGGCCTGGGCTGGTTCCCGCTTCGGGCACCAAAGGCACAGGCAAACCGCCACCCACTTTGAACAGGAAAGCCGTTGGCTTGCTCTTGAGCCCTGCAATCCATGTGCAGCTTGCAGGAGTACAATCTGACTTGCCCAGAAAGGACCTGGAAATAAAAAGGTGATCACCTTTTGGGACCTCTACTAAAAAGTAGACCAAAAAGGGAAAACCAAAAGGTCAGTTCAGGTCGTCTTTGAACAACTGAGACAAAGAATCTTATAGGTCCTGTCATGTTCATGCTCTCTTGACTACAGCCTACGCGGAACTGACTCAAACCAACAAGTTCGTACGCAAGCATCGCAGTGTCAGTGTGCAGTATTGTCTCATGTGTTTCCAAGGGGACACTTCAAAAAGCAGGACACAAACCCACACATCCAGACAATGGGGGAGTAGAGGATCATCTTGCGGCAGTGAAATGTTGAAAGGGAAACCACCTCCAGAAAAGGAACAACAAGCACTGGAGGTTGGCCGAATGTTGGAAACATGTCATGAAGCTCTCCACTTAACCAGACAGCTGACGCGCGGAAGACACGGCACAAAGCATGACCGTGCTTGCAACCTACTTTCGGCAGGTTCAATTTTCGGCAAACGTGAGCAGTCCCTTGCCCAGCGCCTGCGCCTGCTATAAGGGCCCTAAATGCTTCGAATGGGGTGATGGTATATTAAAGAAAACTTAGCTGGGATTCTAGAAGCAAACTGTTTGATATCTGGCGCCCCAAAGAACCTGGTCCAAGTAGGCCTATGGACCAGGATGAATACACCAGGAAGCAACAAAAAACATGGGGAAAAGTTGTCCTGCTCTGTGGCTTGCTACCTTGGGAGTAGCCGTAACATGTAAAGGTGCATGGGCCATTGAAAGGGTCTCCCATCAACCCTAAACTAATTTCGGGGGTGCAACGCCTTGCGAACCAGCCACAGAAACTCTACTGGACGAAATCCTGCACAAGTTGGCAGTGTTTTTGGTCCATGTCATAGGGGTTCATGAATCCCAAGTGGTGAGAAATAGATTTCGTCCACCCACATATATGGACACAAGCCCAAGACAATGTGCGCGCTCGCCAACCAGACTCTGCAACCAGAAGCGCTGCAACAGCATCCAAGAATCTAGGCTGGAATTAGGACCCCACCAATTGAATCCACCAACTAAAGGTTACCTGATCAAAGACCTGACCGACTCGGCCCTGGCCTGCACGAGGAGCTCCAGAAAGTCCCTCACCTTCCGAGGACCCCGATCCGAGGACCCCGTCGTCCCAAAACGGGGGCCGACAAAGTCGTCTCCGTTGACATGGCGCCCTGAGGAATTCCCCCAACAAACCACCAGGTCTCACGATTTTCGCAAGTCCACGTGTCGTTTTATTGTGCTTACTCGGTGACTTTGGTTCAGGTGTTTTGTCAGTCTTACCATCAGTTCACAATTGTCGGGGAAGTGCAGGTCTGAAAATCCCGGCAAATATATCGGTCTCACGATTGACCGTCCTGATTATGAAGACGTGTCCTAGTGCTGAACTCCGAACCGCCCCGCTTAGATCTCCGATGCTCTTAAAAAGCGGCGACTAGGAAATTATTTGAGTCTGGGCGATGTTGTGAAGATGTAATTGTGTCTTCCAAAATCCGAGTTACCACTACACGCACCCGGACATTTGCGTTTTGGTGTTTAGTCAGTGTTTCCCTTGGTTACCTATGCTGGTGCATGGAAGCACTGCACATCGCTTGCAAATTTATCTTCATTCCTCAAGTTGTGAGCCGTGGGCATAACGGGAAAAGGGGAACAACCCCTGAAAAAGCCAAGCCATACTGTGGATGGACAAAATCCTGGTGAAGGATGCTCCAGCCATCGCAGCTCGAAGAAATCCCAGTGGTCAAAATTTCCCACAGGACCAAAGCCAACTACTAATCCTACGCGCAAGTAAGAGGATGTTGCACGCTTGACCTAAACGCGTTTTAAGCTTTCCGGCCCTCAACTGTCATGAAGAAACCTTCCAGAGAGCTCACCGCTTGGGAACAGAAGAAGCAACACCTCAGACGGGCGACGTTCCTTTGCGCCCCTTCAACCATGAAAGCTGAGTATCGGGTCCTTTCCGGAAGCCTCTGGCCAATTCCATAACTTAAGGAGGGAATTTCCCGCATAGACCAAGAATGGTCATAATCCAAGCCGGGTATTAAAATTGTCTACCAACAATTCTAAAGAAGTAAGAAGGCGGATATCCGCAGCTATTTATGATTGAGATTGTCCCTTACCAGCCTTCACCTGCCCGAATCGGCTTTGATTATGGCTCAAATGATGAATAAACCTGGCATAAGACTGAATAATGTGTCTGGCTTCCCGAGTGGATCGGCCAAAAAAGCTCCCAACTTTTGGTGTGTCACTCAACCGGACCAAAGCAACCAGGACTGAGTCCAGAACCTGGTTCGTGGCAAGGAACAACCCAAGATGGGTTGCTTCCTTTTGGTCTCCCTCAAAGCGACACCTTTTAGGTCCTCCAGTCGAGAGGTTAGAATAAGGGTACCCGATTTTTTTTCTGTAGTCTATTTTAGTAGGGGAACCCTCCCCCAAAACAGGGTAAAAAGGCACTACTGGGGGACCTAGCCTTGGGCCCGTAACTTTCACCGTGCTTTTTTGAGGTACCCGTTTTGGGGGTTCGGGACACCTTAAACAAATGGACCACCGGAGCTTTGGTGTCGGCTGCGCCTGTATGTCCTGCTGGCCACACGCGAGGGCCTCCACCAGCAACGAGGCGTCCTCCTTCAGCAGAGTTGAGAGCCTCAAGGCGGCGTTTCGCAGGTCGAAATTTTCTTGGGCAGCATTGGAGTGATTGTTTTTGTTGTGAGTGTTTCATGTTGTGATATTGTTTTTTGTGGTGCTTTATTGTATTGTTACGTGTTGGTTTTGTGAGGGGTTTATTTTACTTTGTTTTGGTGTGTATGTTTCTGTGTTTTATGTCATTTTTGCTTGAGTGTGTGTGTGTGTTGTTTTGGAGTGTTTTTTATTGCTATTTTTGCTTGAGTGTGTGTGTGTGTGTACCCTTGGGGTTGCTTTAAAGGGGTGTACCCCGTTTGGGGTGTACCCTTTTGGGGTGTACCCTGTTTGGGGTGCTTTTTTGGGAAACCAAAAGGAACACCGAAGCCATTTTAGTGGTCCCCCAATTTTCTTGCTGGCGCGCTAGGCAGGGAATGAGAAATGGATTGAACCTGGGGATTTTGTAATGAAGGAAACCACCAGTTGAATGGTTGATAAGGGTCACAGCGTGGGCCCAAGGGAAATACACACTCCACCGCGCAGGGTGGCGTTGGCCGCGTTGGTTCCGGGAGAAAGGGAATCCCTTTGAGGATTCGGTTCATTTGGGGCTTTGAGGAACGCAGCGGCAAACGCCTCAAGGTCGAAACCCCAAAGTTCGACCCATGCTCAGACTTCTGAAAGCGAATGAATTCCATGGAAGTCCACAGGACCTACAGGCACCATAGGCAAGGGTTTCCTCACGCTTCACCACAAAGCCATTGGAAAACAAATGTATTGGTTTTTATGTAAAACAAAAAAATGATGGGAAAAACTCAGAAAACTCAGACGGACACTCGAAGGCAATCAAATTGCAGACAAGCCTAAACACGCAACACTCCAAGGAAGGAGGTTCTAAATGCACTCTCTGTTACCACGATAGGGCCTGCGGGAGCCTTAGGTTTGTTCAGCCCTTCGTAAAGGTTGGCAAAGGAACAAAAGGGAACCGAATGTCAACTTGATTGTGGGCAACTCCGTGCTTTTCACGCACGCCCAAGTCAGTAACGCACTCACATGGGAGCTTCTCAAAACAAAAGGGATCCCTTTTTAGATAGCTTTACAGGGAATGCATGAGGAAACAAACAAGTTCAGGTTCCCCTTATTTTGAGAAACATCCGCGTAGGCAAGAGCCCTTTTTCACATACTTGATGCACCGACCCAAGTTGCCCCGGACTCCTCCCTAAGGATTCCATGCACGCTGCAGGCCCTGAGAGTCGCAGGAGTATTCGACCCTCACCAAAAAATTCCAACCACATCCCTTGAAAGCCATCGAAAGAGGTAGCTTTGAACAGCACGCTCATTTCTGGCATCACGATTTCCCACTCCCGCCTCAGCCCTCCCATCCGGGTGCCGCCACTGCCTTCCCCTGCCCACTCCCCACGTTTGTCCCTGCCGACGAGGCCACGTCTCTATGAGGGCGTCTTTGGTCATCGTGCCCCCACCGATCTTCTCAAACGCGCAGATCACCAAATTGAGCCAATCCATTTCCTGGCAAAGTCGCAACATGTCGCAACCTACCTGGCTGGATTTTATGGGGCCGGTTTTAGTGGGTCCATTTTTTGGCTTTTGGCAAAAAGCCGTCGCTTTTATGAACTGCTCACAAACTGGGTGGCTTGGGCTTGACTCCAATATCCATGGCCAGCTTAATGGTTTAAACCACCGGACAGTTGAAACCAATTGGGTGGTTTAAAGAAATTGGGTGTCTCTAAGAAAATGGGTGTCCCCGGTTTAAACCACATGCTTTGGGTGTCTCTATGAATTTGGATCAATTGGTCTGGTTCAAGAGCCTGCCACCAACCCGTGCGAAGGTTCCCCTGCCAAAAAGAACGAGTGCAAGGCTAATCACCACGCAGCAGCTTTCGGAACTTTTCAGCTTTGTCCTCCATGTCCAAAGTTTCGCTGTGGGACCCGATTGCGTCGATCCAATTCTGAGGCTCAGTGATTCAACCGCTCGACAAGGCGCTGCCTCTGCAGCGGGGGCATCCTTGGATCAACTAGGTCCTCCAGTGGAGAGGTTAGAATAAGGGTACTAACTTTTTCAGTAGTCTTTTTAGTAGGGGAACCCTCCCCCAAAAAGGCTGCTGGGGGACCTAGTCAATGTCCAATTCAGATCGGGGCGGGAAATGATCCTCGCACTTGTTGTTTTATAGGGCAGCCTCCATCGATTAGGCCTTTGAAGTGACATACTCAAACAGTACCCTGAACATGGCTCTGGGAAATGGAATCCACTTCTGTGATAATTACAACAAAAAGGGCTTCCCGAAGACTAACCCCCTACATAAAGCGGGGGAGGTTCACTTGTATCACATGAAGCGGGGCCCCATTTTGTCGGAATCTAAAGGGAAACCAAATTGGAAGCGCCCTATTTTGAGAAGCACCCTGTGCAGTCCTGCGACTGCGCGGCAATCTCCTGGTCGGCGAACTTCTGCGTTTGGGTTTGTGACACCGGGGCCTGAATGGTCGTCGGTCGGACCCATCTTGTGAAACGAGGCAGCAACTTGGAAAGCTGCAATGCCAGGCAGGACCATGGGGTGCCCTAACTATCGCAAGTCTGCGGAACATTTTTTTTTAAATCAGGCTTGCTTGCGGGAATCCTTGCCTTGCTTGGGGGAAGAAGATCCATGAGCAAACTGCGCGTCCAAGTGAAACATGCCACTCAAAGCCAAGGTCTCTGCACACCCAATTCACATCGGGGATATCGGACAATGCGATTTCCCAACGGAAGCAAACAAGGGGCGTGTTCAAGAAAACTGTCGTCATCCAACCACCCTCCAATCGTCAGCTTCCCTGATAGATGGACACAAGAGTACTACGAGAGGCTGACAAATATCGAGTTAGAGTGGCAGTCTAGGGCACTGAAAAACCTGAAGCCATCCCAGAACCCCGCAACAACTGCTTTCTTACATGACCAAAAACCCAAGTACTGTCCCAAAAACGAGGTTGAGGGGTGCTGGATGGGAGAATGCGTGTCATGTTGCGCCTATTCGCCTCCATTTGCTTTAGTCCGCAGGAAACAACGGAACATCTTTGCAGTAGTAATAGATCCCTTTTAAAACCAGCGGGCGAAAACAAAAACAATACTCAGTTCAGCCACTAGAAGTGAATTGTTTCGTTGGTCGCCAAGGTGCAGAAGCCGTTTCCGCCAGCTTCCGCTCATCCGGCACCTGGGCCGAAGTTCAAGCAGCTTCCAACGACTTTCAGGGATGTTTCTTTTCGGCAAACAAGAATCTCAGGGGACACGCTTGCTTTTGAAAGCAAAGGTTTGTTTCAAGAATTAACAAAAACCAACCCGGAGAGACTCTCAGGGCAAGCTACGGATGCGAACGTAGGTTCGTCTCCCAATGCGGCGGAACTGAACAAACTGAACTTGGTCGCTTCTCACCAACTGCGAAGCGGGTACCCTCGACAAACGGCATACCTCCGTTTTCCGATTCCAAGCCCGTGGCTACTAAGGGACAATATCCCTCTGTTCCATCCCTAAACTTGCAACTCAAAACAAACAACATTATAAACATAGGTGTATGTTTTACCGGGCGGCCGATTAGTGGACATTAGGAGCTTCATGTCCGCGCACTTGCGAGTGCGCTCCCTCCGAAAAAATCATAGCCATGTCTTCTATTGTCTTAAGATTGCTTCTGTTCTCTCTGGTGACCACCATATGTCTTAAGACACAAGCCATACTTTTCCGTTTTTCTCCGGTGACCGCCAAGTTTTCTACACACAAACGCCAACTTTTCTGAAAACACCCGAGGCAGATGGACCTCTTCAGCTCCCAAGCGCGCCCTCCCCGCGGCCGGCGCGGGAGGGGCCTCCCGTAGGCTCAGCAGCACCGCGCTGTCCAGCTCCAAAGGCTCCGGGTCCTGTTGCTGGTGGACCAAGGCTTGGCGCGCCGAAAAAAGGAAACCAGACACCACCTGGAAAATCACCAAACCACAGAGAACATCGCCCGTCTTCATTTTTTTTGGGAGGGGATCCCTGAATGTCCACCA